CGTCTGTTACACAAAAGGAGAAAAGTAGGGGTATTTGTATGGAAGGGTATTTGGAAAAATATCATTTCTTACTATTCCTCCGCATTCACAATTAATCCACAACCAAGGCGCCGAAGTGTACGCTCCCATAGCGTCTTGTTCGTTTAAGTAGACCAAAATGTTTACAAACCGCTAACAACAGCGCCTGGATACATACTAATCAAATCCTTCATGATCTTTCACACACGTTTTTAAAAAGACTGAAAACTACTATGAGGTGAAACTGCATGTCAAAAGCGCTTTGTTTTCTACAGATAAAAGCCCAACATCAAGATTGTCCATTTTTTACCGTATTTCTAACCATAAAAACTTATCCCAAATATCTCGTTAACGCTCTTACAGATTTCGCTTAAACTTCGCGAATATCGAGGCGGCTGTTGGACGAAAACGTTTCCGTGAACGATTATGGCAGAACAGTTCACAGTGCCGAGAAATACTGCTGCAAGTAAAATAGCTAATAGCGCCATTTCATTGCTATGACAACTCCCATGTCATTGCAACCCTCATCATAACAAATTTTCATCTTTACCTAATACAACTGTGGTGGCAATTTTTTCAAATCTTTGTTTATAGAGACGTAGTTTATGCTCAAACTTGGGAGGTATTGACCCTGAAAAACTGTATCGAGCCACCCTAAAGAGACCAAAATGAAAGAGCCAAGTACCTTCTGTCAGCTTCTGTTAAACTCACCTTGATTACTGGTCTCTAACCCCATAAGGTTAAAGGATGGAAACAATCCAAACCCAGTAAAAACACCACTTCCTCCTCCACCAGCACCACCCACACTGGGTGGACCATCCCCACCCCCTGAAAAATAGTCTGAGAAGTGAGGAATCTTCTTCCGCTTCTTAATACCACTCTGCTCTTTGTCTAAAAACAAAAGGGAATATTTATATCCCAGTAAAATAACAAATCTTGCAATTAACTCTAATATTATTCCTCTCCATGCTATCATGCAAGCCTTGGCTATCTAATTTCCATTATTGATATTATTAAATAATCAGTGGAACATGTCAAACACACAGTTATGAATTAATCAATCAAATTAAATTGCTCGACCAAGGCTCTTGAAAATTTTTCACTCTTCATTTAAAAATAACGTTCATTTTTTAGCTGTGCAACAATCAAAAAATACAAATAACGATTAAACAATAAAGAAATCTACAGGGTTATAAGAATGGGACAACATTGACGAAGAAAAAGCTGTTAAATACAGTGGAAGCTCGATATAACGAAGGGCCAAGGGACTGGCAAAATTTGTTCGCGATAACTAGGTTTCGTTATATTGAGGTCTTTTTTCATATATTTGACTATTACTAGGGTTTAAAAAATCGTTCGTAATCTCACAGCCATTAACTGATCCACTAACCTGATTCTGGGAACATGCTTGATTGTTCAGCCATATGTGTCTGTCCAGAAGAACTCGACTGTCCTTGCTGAGAGGTACCCGAGCCATCTCCTGTGGAAAAAATGATACAACATTATAAATCAGGACAGAATATATGAAGTAACCAAGAAGAGTGCCAATTGCATGGCCAGGAACAAATCTGATCAAATCAATTTTACATAACGAAAATATCAATGACAGTCTTCAAAAACATGGTCACTAGTATAGGGCGAAGGCCGAATGGGCTATTGACTCACAGGCCATGAGAGGGCGAGAGGAATAATTGTTTTAGTACATTCCAACTAGTGGGTCAAAAATATCGAGACAAAACAACTTTAGCTAGCAGAACGCGATTCAGCCGCCATTGTTTTGGTTTTCAAACCTGGCGCTTTTCGCTTCTACTGGGCTATCACATATAGCCTGGTAGTAGCTCAACCAATCAGAACGCAACATTGATAATAGACCACTAGTTGGATTTTACTAAAATCTTTTATGCTACTTAAAGACAGTGTCTTTCTACTGTGAATTAATAAATTAATTTAAATGCAGTTTAAAGACAAGTGTGAGCCTGGTTTTAGCTACTGAACACCTAAAACTGCAATTGGAGTCATAAAAGTGACGTCATCGTAGTGACATCTTTTATACGGACACCTCTCTAATACGGACCTTTTGCTCTGTCCCTTCGGTGTCGGTATTAGAGAGGTTCGACTGTATTATTTTTCAAAGAATCTTTGTTGCTCGTTAAGGTGGCTCGATACAGTTTTTCAGGGTCAATATTTTCCAAGTTTGAGCCGCATAAACTACGTCGCCATAAACAAAGATTTGGAAAAATTGCCACCACAGTTGTATTAGATAAAGATGAAAATTTGTTATGATTAGGGTTGCAACCGCATCGGAGTTGTCATAGCAACGAAATGACGCTATTACCTATTTTACTTGCAGCCGTATATCTCGGCACTGGTAACTGTTCTTCCAAATCGTTCACGGGAGCTTTTTCCTCCAATAGCCACCTCCATGTTCGTGAACTTTAAGCGAAATCTGTAAGAGCGTTAACGAGCTATTTTGGAATGAAGTTTTTATGGTTAAACACAGTAGCGAAAATCGAGACACAAGAGCAATTTTCAGTGCGTCTCACTGCGCATACGAGTTTGCATTAATATGTCGCGCCATATGTTTCTCCAAAGTGCGTTTCAGTTTGGCTTTTTTATCGTCGAAACCTTGTCTTTTCCCTCTGGAATCTAGCTTGGAATTCGTGATACACCGTTGAAAACCCAAATTTATTAGTTCGCCGGTTAAATTCCCTGCCGATAGATCAAAGTTTCAGTTCTGTACTACGGCCCGAGGTAAGCTTATAATAATTTTCACGCGAACAAGTCTCCTTCCCAGTCATTTTTACGCTCGTCACGCAACGGTTGCGTGACGAGCCCAAAAACGGCCGCGATGGAGACTAACTGTACTTCCGTGTTTGTTTTTTTTTTCTAAATCCAGCGGCCGAAATAATGCCAAGTATGCTTTTTAATACACTTTTAAAAAATAACACCACACAATATGCAAAAAAGAAGAAGAAGAAAACAAAGAGCAAAGTAGGGACCTTCACGACGATATTCGTAGTGGGTTACCCAAATAGTTCCTAACCCTGCCTGACAGGGCTTAACTTGAGTGGCGCTACTGAAACACCGAGTTTCCCTAGGGTTATTGCGAGATACGTATTTCTAGTTTATGTTGCGATGTTGTACATGAATTATCCTCGGTGCGGAGATTGTGCATTTTCAGCAAGTTTTCTAAAGGAGTGTACTGATGTTAGTTTATAGTTACGTTGTTGGAGAAGGTGTGGAGATAACTGTACGTAAGGAAAGTGTTGTTGTAATGAAAATAAAGGAAGAGGAACTGAGATCTCGCCGTGCGCAATTATTTATGACAGAAATTATAATCGAATTGGGTCACAGCCATGAACCTAGCAGACTTCCGGTGAAGAAGTTAAGACGTCTGTTACACAAAAGGAGAAAAGTAGGGGTATTTGTATGGAAGGGTATCTGGAAAAATATCATTTCTTACTATTCCTCCGCATTCACAATTAATCCACAACCAAGGCGCCGAATTGTACGCTCCCATAGCGTCTTGTTTGTTTAAGTAGACCAAAATGTTTACAAACCGCTAACAACAGCGCCTGGACACATACTAATCAAATACGTCTTTGTACCAATCGGCTAAAGCTATCTCCATGATCTTTCACACACGATTTTAAAACGACTGAAAACTACTATGAGGTAAAATTGCATGTCAAAAGCGCTTCGTTTTCTACAGATAAAAGCCGAACATCAAGATTGTCCATCTTTTACCGTATTTCTAACCATAAAAACTTTGTCCCAAAATATCTCGTTAACGCTCTTACAGATTTCGCTTAAACTTCGCGAACATCGAGGCGGCTGTTGGAGGAACAAGCTGCCGTGAACGATTATGGCAGAACAGTTTACAGTGCCGAGAAATACTGCTGCAAGTAAAATAGCTAATAGCGCCATTTCGTTGCTATGACAACTCCCATGTCATTGCAACCCTCATCATAACAAATTTTCATCTTTACCTAATGCAACTGTGGTGGCAATTTTTCCAAATCTTTGCTTATGGAGACGTAATTTATGCTCAAACTTGGGAGGTATTGACCCTGAAAAACTGTATCGAGCCACACTAAAGAGACCAAAATGAAAGAGCCAAGTACCTTCTGTTCAACTCACCTTGATTACTGGACTCTAACCCTATATGGTTAAAGGATGGAAACAATCCAAACCCAGTAACACCAGCAACACCTCCTCCACCAGCACCACCCACACTGGGTGGACCATTCCCACCCCCTGGAAAATAGTCTGAGAAGTGAGGAATCTTCTTCCGCTTCTTAATACCAATCTGCTCTTTGTCTAAAAACAAAAGGGAATATTTATATCCCAGTAAAATAACAAATCTTGCAATTAATTCTAATATTATTCCTCTCAATGCTATCAGGCAAGCCTTGGCTATCTAATTTCCATTATTGATATTGTTAAATAATCAGTGGAACATGTCAAACACACAGTTATGAATTAATCAATCAAATTAAATTGCTCGACCAAGGCTCTTGAAAATTTTTCACTCTTCATTTAAAAATAACGTTCATTTTTTAGCTGTGCAACAATCAAACAATACAAATAACGATTAAACAATAAAGAAATCTACAGGGTTATAAGAATGGGACAACATTGACGAAGAAAAAGCTTTTAAATACAGTGGAAGCTCGATATAACGAAGGGCCAAGGGACTGGCAAAATTTGTTCGCGATAACTAGGTTTCGTTATATTGAGGTCTTTTTTCATATATTTGACTATTACTAGGGTTTAAAAAATCGTTCGTAATCTCACAGCCATTAGCTGATCCACTAACCTGATTCTGTTAACATGCTTGATTGTTCAGCCATATGTGTCTGTCCAGAAGAACTCGACTGTCCTTGCTGAGAGGTACCCGAGCCATCTCCTGTGGAAAAAATGATACAACATTATAAATCAGGACAGAATATATGAAGTAACCAAGAAGAGTGCCAATTGCATGGCCAGGAACAAATCTGATCAAATCAATTTTACATAACGAAAATATCAATGACAGTCTTCAAAAACATGGTCACTAGTATAGGGCGAAGGCCGAATGGGCTATTGACTCACAGGCCATGAGAGGGCGAGAGGAATAATTGTTTAGTACATTCCAACTAGTGGGTCAAAAATATCGAGACAAAACAACTTTAGCTAGCAGAACGCGATTCAGCCGCCATTGTTTTGGTTTTCAAACCCGGCGCTTTTCGCTTCTACTGGGCTATCACATATAGCCTGGTAGTAGCTCAACCAATCAGAACGCAACATTGATAATAGACCACTAGTTGGATTTTACTAAAATCTTTTATGCTACTTAAAGGCCCATGTTCACCCAAACGGCTTTGCGCGCTTGTGTTTTTGTTTTGAAACGATTCTTTTGTCAAATGCAGTGTTTTCATTGGCTTCCACTTTGAGGAGCGTTGCGTGACGATACTAAAAACGACTGCGAGGGAGACTACAATAATTATTGCAGCTTTTTTCACGCTTGATCAAAGCTTAGAGAGACAGTATCAAAGAGGCCAGTAACACTTTTAATTCTTTTCCAAATGGAGGAAGATATATCGCCGACTTCGTTAAATGTCACCGCAGAAAGTAGTTCAAAATTTAAACTAGTAGTGAATGCTTCTGGATGCTTTGTTGAGTCCGATGAACACAATGAGGTCATAAATTACGAAACGTCTAAGCACCAGGTGAGGTTTTCCTGAAGCCCGATTCGACTGTGAAATGTTTTGATTCCTCAATCTATTATTTTGTGTTAATTCTTAGGAAGCTTAGGTATGTGTTCTCGAAAGAATAAGCGAGAAGTTGCGTTTGCAAAGCGTCGAATCGGCACTGCGTACAGTCTTGTCGGTGTAATCGCTGTATTACACTTTCTTTTGGTTTTGCTAAGGATTGGTTTGCTAGAGTTCTCGCTACTTTAGAGCCGGCTTTAATCGTGATACGCCAGACGATAAGTTTACGTTAAGGATATCACTCGCTTCATAGGTTAAATTAAATCAGGGGCACCCAACGGCAATTTTCGGGAAAATATCTGTTCGGAAGACGATTTGAGAACTAGAATTTTCGGAACATTTGTTGTAAAATTTCTCGCTTGCCTGCCTCTCCTAGGATTTTCGAACAACCACAAAATTGTATAATTACCCATTTTAAACGGATATTTACCCTAAAAAAGGCCACCTAGAATTTTCGGGAGCCTTTTCCTGGCTGAAATTTTCGAGAAGGTAAGTTTTGATCCTTATAATTTTCGGATCACTAGACTTTCAGCTAGGAAATCCGAACAGATGAAAAGTTTTTAGGGGATAAAAATATGCCTATATCTACCGTTTAAGTACTAAAATACGTTCAACAATGCTATGTTAACTGGTTTTGAACTATATCCTCGTTGGGTGCCCCTGTTAAATAAAGCATTGTTCATGTTAGATTGACTCGCTTGTTTTGCTATCAACTGATTTCAACGGGACCTTTGTTTACGATTGAACATTCGATGTAGAAGGAACTCGGCAAACACGCTGTCTGTAGAATTTACAGCCAAGAGTTTTTTTCCCATCTCTCCAGGGATTAAAGAAAACGGATTCACGGAGGCGAATGTACTTCGGCGACCCCCGTCGACGCGGTCTTCCAACCATGCTTCTAACCGTTCGTTTCGATGGAGCCGCCATCGAAAGTGCTGCAGTGAAACAAACACTCACAGAAACAAAAAAGCTCGATACCATTCCAAAATATCCAAAAAGATGTAAAGGAAAATACCAAAAGAACTTGTTGAGACTTTCTTTTAAACCAGATTTAGCGAACTGTGGAAGATTAACAAAGATTGACTTTACACACTAAAGGCAGCGATTTTCAACTACGCGAAATGTTTTTTCTGGAGTACAGGGCGTGCAATGCATCTAGGGTGAACATGGGCCTTTAAAGACAGTGTCTTTCTACTGTGAATTAATAAATTAATTTAAATGCAGTTTAAAGACAAGTGTGAGCCTGGTTTTAGCTACTGAACACCTAAAACTGCAATTGGAGTCATAAAAGTGACGTCATCGTAGTGACATCTTTTATACGGACACCTCTCTAATACGGACCTTTTGCTCTGTCCCTTCGGTGTCGGTATTAGAGAGGTTCGACTGTATTATTTTTCAAAGAATCTTTGTTGCTCGTTAAGGTGGCTCGATACAGTTTTTCAGGGTCAATATTTTCCAAGTTTGAGCCGCATAAACTACGTCGCCATAAACAAAGATTTGGAAAAATTGCCACCACAGTTGTATTAGATAAAGATGAAAATTTGTCATGATTAGGGTTGCAACCGCATCGGAGTTGTCATAGCAACGAAATGACGCTATTACCTATTTTACTTGCAGCCGTATATCTCGGCACTGGTAACTGTTCTTCCAAATCGTTCACGGGAGCTTTTTCCTCCAATAGCCACCTCCATGTTCGTGAACTTTAAGCGAAATCTGTAAGAGCGTTAACGAGCTATTTTGGAATGAAGTTTTTATGGTTAAACACAGTAGCGAAAATCGAGATACAAGAACAATTTTCAGTGCGTCTCACTGCGAAGACGAGTTTACTTTAATATGTTGAGCCATATATGTTTCTCCAAAGTACGTTTCAGTTTGGCTTTTTATCGTGGAAACCTTGTCTTTTCCCCCTGGAATCTAGCTTGGAATTAGCTTGATACACCGTGGAAAACCCAAATTTATTAGTTTGCCGGTTAAATTCCCCGCTAATAGATCAAAGTTTCACTGGCAGTTCTGTACTACGGCCCGAAGTAAACTTATAATAATTTTCACGCGAACTAGTCTCCTTCGCAGCCGTTTTTAGCCTAAAAACGGCTGCGATGGAGACTAACTGTACTTCCGTTTTTGTTTGTTTTTTTTTTGTTGTTGTTCTAAATCCAGCGGCCGAAATAATGCTAAGTATGCTTTTCAATACACTTTTAAAAATAACACCACACAATATGCAAAAAAGAAGAAGAAGAAAACAAAGAGCAAAGTAGGGACCTTCACGACGATATTCGTAGTGGGTTACCCAAATAGTTCCTAACCCTGCCTGACAGGGCTTAACTTGAGTGGCGCTACTGAAACACCGAGTTTCCCTAGGGTTATTGCGAGATACGTATTTCTAGTTTATGTTGCGATGTTGTGCATGAATTATCCTCGGTGTGGAGATTGTGCATTTTCAGCAAGTTTTCTAAAGGAGTGTACTGATGTTAGTTTATAGTTACGTTGTTGGAGAAGGTGTGGAGATAACTGTACATAAGGAAAGTGTTGTTGTAATGAAAATAAAGGAAGAGGAACTGAGATCTCGCCGTGCGCAATTATTTATGACAGAAATTATAATCGAATTGGGTCACAGCCATGAACCTAGCAGACTTCCGGTGAAGAAGTTAAGACGTCTGTTACACAAAAGGAGAAAAGTAGGGGTATTTGTATGGAAGGGTATCTGGAGAACTATCATTTCTTACTATTCCTCCGCATTCACAATTAATCCACAACCAAGGCGCCGAAGTGTACGCTCCCATAGCGTCTTGTTTGTTTAAGTAGACCAAAATGTTTACAAACCGCTAACAACAGCGCCTGGACACATACTAATCAAATCCTTCATGATCTTTCCATGATCTTTCACACACGTTTTTAAAAAGACTGAAAACTACTATGAGGTGGAACTGCATGTCAAAAGCGCTTTGTTTTCTACAGATAAAAGCCCAACATCAAGATTGTCCATTTTTTACCGTATTTCTAACCATAAAAACTTATCCCAAATATCTCGTTAACGCTCTTACAGATTTCCCTTAAACTTCGCGAATATCGAGGCGGCTGTTGGACGAAAACGCTCCCGTGAACGATTTTGACAGAACAGTTCACAGTGCCGAGAAATACTGCTGCAAGTAAAATAGCTAATAGCGCCATTTCGTTGCTATGACAACTCCCATGTCATTGCAACCCTCATCATAACAAATTTTTATCTTTACCTAATACAACTGTGGTGGCAATTTTTCCAAATCTTTGTTTATAGAGACGTAGTTTATGCTCAAACTTGGGAGGTATTGACCCTGAAAAACTGTATCGAGCCACCCTAAAGAGACCAAAATGAAAGAGCCAAGTACCTTCTGTCAGCTTCTGTTAAACTCACCTTGATTAATGGGCTCTAACCCCATAGGGCTAAAGGATGGAAACAATCCAAACCCAGTAAAAACACCACCTCCTCCTCCACCAGCACCACCCACACTGGGTGGACCATCCCCACCCCCTGAAAAATAGTCTGAGAAGTGAGGAATCTTCTTCCGCTTCTTATCACCAATCTGCTTTTTGTCTAATAACAAAAGGGAATATTTATATCCCAGTAAAATAACAAATCTTGCAATTAATTCTAATATTATTCCTCTCAATGCTATCATGCAAGCCTTGGCTATCTAATTTCCATTATTGATATTATTAAATAATCAGTGGAACATGTCAAACACACAGTTATGAATTAATCAATCAAATTAAATTGCTCGACCAAGGCTCTTGAAAATTTTTCACTCTTCATTTAAAAATAACGTTCATTTTTTAGCTGTGCACCAATCAAAAAATACAAATAACGATTAAACAATAAAGAAATCTACAGGGTTATAAGAATGGGACAACATTGACGAAGAAAAAGCTGTTAAATACAGTGGAAGCTCGATGTAACGAAGGGCCAAGGGACTGGCAAAATTTGTTCGCTATAACTAGGTTTCGTTATATTGAGGTCTTTTTTCATATATTTGACTATTACTAGGGTTTAAAAAATCGTTCGTAATCTCACAGCCATTAGCTGATCCACTAACCTGGTAACATGCTTGATTGTTCAGCCATATGTGTCTGTCCAGAAGAACTCGACTGTCCTTGCTGAGAAGTACCCGAGCCATCTCCTGTGGAAAAAATGATACAACATTATAAATCAGGACAGAATATATGAAGTAACCAAGAAGAGTGCCAATTGCATGGCCAGGAACAAATCTGATCAAATCAATTTTACATAACGAAAATATCAATGACTGTCTTCAAAAACATGGTCACTAGTATAGGGCGAAGGCCGAATGGGCTATTGACTCAGAGGCTATGAGAGGGCGAGAGGAATAATTGTTTTAGTACATTCCAACTAGTTGCTCAAATAGTCCATTAGCGAGGTGGGTTGTATGGCTCACTTAATGGGAACAAACAAAACATGTATAATCTAAATCGTTGAGTAAAAAGCATCACAAAAATGCACGATAGAACGGTAGCTTTCACTTAGCAAATCGAATTTTAAATTTGCCCCTTAAACCCTTATTTTGGTCGCCATCTTGGATTTATAAACAAACCTTTGATTCCCTCTTAATTTAAACACACGATTTTTCTACAGAGGAATTTGAATTAGCAGGTATCTGAGATATTATTTTAGCGTTGTTAAGGTTAGTCAAGATATGATGACGTCATATATGACGTCACAGTGACCGCCATTTTGCTTTTAAAATTAGCCTATTTAACTGATATCTCAATCACAGTAAATAAGAAAATTGCTATTAACATTAAACGTTGGAAGTTCTTCTTTTTCACATTACAATCCTGTTTTGTGCTGGAATGGGCAAATTCGACTTAGCCTGTGTACAGACGTCCCCACTCCCTCGGGAAAAATCGGGAGAGGAGACGTCTGTGAATCGCCGTCGTTAATCGTGTTCCGGTATAAATTTGCATTAATTATTTTTTTGTTCTTTCGCTGACAGTTGAAAAGGCACAGGTAGGTCGAAAAATAGCTCTAGCGTCTGTGCACAGGCGAGACGAAAATCTTCATGTTGAAGATGATTACAGTCAAGCCATTAATGTATTTATTATTCGAAATTAAGTTGAACCGTTGGTGGTTGTAGATTTCAGATTCATCTCTGTGTGCATTTTTGCATGCGTAATGAGCCGTGAATTCACACGCGATTTAGTTAGAAAATATCTACCAGCTCAGTTTTCCTGAATTTGATGTAAATGTCTTCTAAGACATTTAATCCATTCAAAGATTTTCAATCTGACCAAATGCAGAGAAGTTCTCTTAAAATATTCACTGCTCATTACGCATACAGGAATGCCGATTTAAATTTGACACCAGTTACGTCAACGACTAACGGATTCATTTTTTCAAATAATCAATTCATTAATAGAATCTTTTTGGGTTAAGCTTGACCCGCGGCCTTGGCTGTTAACGTTGGATTTTGTATGCCTTCTCTTTTATTTACAATACCGAACGGTACAGACAGATGCATCCACAACCGGTGCAGCAAACATCGGTGGTCTTACCTTCGCATGCCTTTTCGATAGAGCCGAAATACAAATACCGTTAAACAAATATGAATGTCCACAAAGGCTGAGCTTTTCCCCGGGGAATCTATTCTGAGGTTCATTCACCAATCACAACACCGGAAATTATTTGCGTCATGGCATTAACTTTACAACCAATCAGGGGCTGTCCCCAACATTCCGGGGAAACGGGAACACGATTATCGTCGGCGATTCACAGACGTCTCCTCTCCCGATTTTTCCTGAGGGAGGGGGAACGTCCGTACACAGGCTAATTTGACTTTTTTATGAGGAAAAAGGCCAAATTGAAACAAATTGGGAACTTTCTTTAACCCTTTGCTGACGGCTGGCGAGTAGCGAAAAAACCGCATTTTTCACCAATTCCTCTTCTTTGGACTGGTTTTCGACTAATTAGCATTGCTAAAAGAATAGCTAAAAATGAATTTTGCATCAAACAAAGGCATATTTTCCGACTAATCGCATAATTAAAAAGCTGTTTTGTTTTTCACGCATGCGCACAAGCTAAAATTTTGGACTTTTTATTTGCGAATCTATTTCGATCTTTGTCTATCGCTCTCTCTCTTTTTTTTTTTTGCCTTTCTTCTATATTAGCAGTTTTTTGCCCACTTTATCGTCTTTTTTTTATAGAATTGTGGCTAGCCAACTTTTAAAGAAAGTAAAAAATTTAATCTTCAGAGAGTAGCAGATAAACCGGCACATTGGCAGTGGATTTTTCATTAAAATGTTACCTTTTCTGTGCGTGTAACGTTGTTAGGATTAGTCAGAATATCCAAAACCAGATATCGCTGGAAACGTTTTGTGACGTTGTTGCTAAAAAATGTATTAACTTATATAAACTGAAAGCTAACTGAATCTAGGAAGGAAAAACGCGTGATTATTATCGTTCCATATAGAGTGATAACGACCAAAGCAGTCGTCGAATGTTTAAGGCCATCGAAATCACAAGGCTAGAAGAACATGTTTAGAGCTGCTGTAGCTTCGTTTTCTACGGCAAGTAAATTATACCTCTACCTAGAGGCAATAAGGCACAAATAAGAGCAGATAACGTGCTCCAGGGAAGGGGGGGAGGGGGGGGGGGGAAGGTGCACTCAAGGTAAGTCTTAAAAGAGCTGTGCCGCCGAGACCTTCAAACCTCGACACTGTTTAAGATTCTGACATTGATTTGTCTTTTTTTGTTTTGTTCTACATAAAGAATCAAATAGTTTTTCAAACTAACACCACGGAAATAGAAACTTTGGAAAAACATTATCGGTACTGCAAATGTAAACTGCTCATCGCAAGCCTTCACAGTCTTTTTAAGGCTTCCAGCTCAAAAAGACTCTGTTCAAGACACTGTTAAGCGAATTTACTATTAAAATAATAAAATAAATAATTAGATTTTTACTATTAAAACAATACAATTCTACACCCTGGTTAATACTCAAGACCTACCCCCAAGCCAACTCGAAATGGGCTCCACTCTTCAGTCTAGAGCTTGTTTTAGAACAAAAGCACTATGTTCCCATAACTGACATTATTCGCATAACACCATACTTCACAGTTGAAATTCGCGTTTGGAAACTTAAAACATAAACATAGATTCACATGTACTGCATTTTTTGCCCTAACATCATAATCTGAAGACAGGTTAATACACATGAGTTGCAACTACTTTACGGTAATTTTGTGCCAACGACGGGAGCAGAACGATCGTTCTTCTTCACATTGAGGCTTGATAATTGCTCCTGTAAGTCAAAAAGATGACTCGCATGGCGGCAGATTCTCCAGCTTGACCTTCCAGCCTTAAGCTGGGGATGAATCTCGTAGCGACGCACTATGCCACTTCTTTCTGTACAGTTCACACACGGGTGCTTTCGTATCTTGAATTTAAAGTTCTCATTGGATACTGATCACTCTTTCCCGCGATACTCGCCATAACTCGGACCTACCCTCCATTGGTTGAAGAAGCTGAACTGCTTTCCACTTCGCTTTAACAAAGAAGGCAGAGATGTTATCACAGGCTGTGATCGAGTTTTCACCTATAAGGGCACCTCATGAAGCAGTGGTTAACATCGCCTGGGTCGAGTTGCATATAATGTTCGCACCTCTTCCCTTTTTCATGTAGCACCTTTTCAAAGTCAAGTTTTTGCTATAAGCAAGCATTAGGACAAAGACATCAGTCTCCGTGTCAGTGCTTAGAGTGCATCACACTGTCATTCCTACGCGCATGCCGAGCATGGAGAACAATACACGTTTCAGCCTCCTCGTCACAGAACTGTACCTCAGGAACAGGGTCTCTCATCACTTTGTGTCTGCTTCTAGTCGCCCAACTGGTCTTCGGTTGTCGCACGAGGAGTCCATGATCCAGTTGCCGAGTCTGCTTCTAAATGCTTCGGTTTTGCCTTGTGGCACAAGGAATTTGACGATTTCAGCTTATTTGTGTTGGCACTTGGCAGCTCGTTCCATGACTTCAGAGCATAGTACATCGCAGTAAATCCCTATATTATACACTGTCAGCGGTATACGTTATTCTCATTTTTTTGACATTTTTGATCAACACCTCGCGCTACACATCAACCGCTACGTCCACGTGCGTGCTGCGTGAAGTTAGTTACTATAAGCAACCACATGGAACATAGCTCCAGAGGAGATCTACAACTTCTGTAGCCTGCCGTTTCATCGACGGGCGATGTTGATTCGCATAGGACGTCAGGTAGTTATAATATAAGCACTAGAACAAACGGAAGTCGTGTTTTACGAGCAACTTTTCAGCCTTCCCCGGAATTCACGATGGCGGCCAAAAGGAGATCATAAAGGGCAAATTTAAATTTCGATTTTCAAAGTGAAAGCTACCGTTTTATCCTTGCTATCATGCATTTTTGTGATGCTTACTAGTCAAAGATTAATATGTGACATGTTTCGGCTGTTCTCCTCGAGTGAGCCATAAACCCAAATTTTCGGCTCTCAGCTGATGGACTAAAAAATATCGAGACAAAACAACTTTAGCTAGCAGAACGCGATTCAGTCGCCATTGTTTTGGTTTTCAAAGCCGGCGCTTTTCGCTACTAGTGGGCTATCACATATAGCCTAGTAGTAGCTCAACCAATCAGAACGCAACATTGATAATAGACCACTAGTTGGATTTTACTAAAATGTTTTATGCTACTGAAAGACAGTGTCTTTAAGAGTGTTAACGAGATATTTTGGAATGAAGTTTTTATGGTTACAAACACAGTAAAAAATGGACAATATTGAAGTTTGGCCGTTATCTGTAGAAAACAAAGCGCTTTTGACATGCAATTTCACCTCTTAGTACTTTACCTCTTTAGTACTTTATTGCCTTATAGTATATCAATAATCTTAAAACTGAAAGGTCATATAAGAGGAAGCTTAATCTCACGATTCTTTAATTTTTAAAAAAATCTATCAAGCGGTTTAAAAATCATTCCCTAATTACTTCGGCAGAGCCCGAAGTAGAGCGTTCGCGACGCTCAGGAATGTCCCATAGTTGCCTTTTTTGGGACGAGATTGGGCATGCAAAGTTTGTAGGTATTCGGCTTTATTCGAATAGTTGACGAAGTGAGCGCCGAATTAGTTCGAGATAACTCGAGATCAGTCCGATTTCTTTGTTATTGGAGGAAGAAAGAATTATTTTATTCGCTTGCCCAGGGTTTGAACCGAC